TTTAAAATATTTTTGCAGCAGAAATAACAACCAAATATGATTAAAGTTCAACCTACAAGTGATAAAACACTTGTACACTATGGAAACAGATCAAACTACGTCACTAGAAAAATTACGATATGTTAGTAAATCTCAAACCAACTAGTGAAAAATAAACAAGTAAACTAGGGTGTATTCAATTGGGATGTTAAGTGACATTATAAGACTTTAAGATTTTCATATTTGGGAGGAATTCTATGAAATCTTATGTCTTGAGGTATGATTTGAAGTGGGATTTGGTACGAGGTTTTTTGTTTAGAAATCCCACCAAATCTTAAAAAGTCCTAACAATTCCTAGTGTCAAAATAAATTAAATACCTCATGATTTTGTAAGACATTTTAAAATCTTAATTGAATATCCCAAGATTTTTAAATTTCTTAAAAAGTCTTAACAAATCTAAATTGAATATACCAGGATTTCTAAAGTCTTAAAAAGTTCTAACAGAATACACCCCCTAAGATTCAAACTTTCACACACATCTCAACCAAATTTATCAAATACGAGTTCATAATGAAATAGCCAAACAAAAAACAAAATGAAAAGAGTCCAGAAAAAAAATATCGCTTAAATAAAAGGTGAATATTGAGCTTGGATGATTTTTCTTTCTGATGTATATCGTCTATCTCCTTCGTCACGTCACATACGGAGCCAAAATAAATATTTTTTACCGGACTCTTGAGAAATGAGAAACTAGGTGCGTGCAATAGAAGAAAATCAGCAAAGTGAAATGCAGTCTATGCATTGATGAAGAAACTTGCAGTCCATGCTCTCCAGATGAAAATCGCGACTGCTGTTGTACGCGACGCCCTTATCTGCTATGAAAATTGCACGCTCATCCAATTCTAGTGTACATGCTGGAAATCTACTTCGTATATTCATGTCTTCTTATTTTCTCTATCAAACATTTTAGTGTATTGTTAGTGATGCGCAATTTGCCTCCAAATCGGGTTTCAACCGATACAACCACAAACCGCCTTTCACCTTGAGTTCCAATGACAACTGAACATATCGGGGAGGAGTTTTGACGAAAAACCTCCGACACTCAAGTAAGATCTCGCTCGTGAATCCAATAAAACATTATAATATTACATAAATATGTGTTGACCCAAAATAAAGTAGAGATAAAGACTGAAAATGTCTTAGTCTACATGTGTTTTATTGGCCAAATTATTATCATGTGATTATTTATTTCCACTGCGTATTTAAATTCGAATTTTTATTTAAAAATCTAAATATTTTGGTACCTAAAATTCTAACAAGCTTTGCTGACTAGTTACAACCAACTGCGTTATATTTTGGTGCCTAAAATTCTAACAAGCTTTGCTGACTAGTTACAACCAACTCGAACCCAATATTACACGGCAGTCATGCAAAGATTCTTTGCATGCATTTGCCATATTACATTCTCACGTTACAATCTCTTATGTTAAACAAAACTTAACTCAGTTGTATGCATTCTTAGGTTATGTGGTGAAACAGCGCACGAGAAAAAACATGAAAAAAAGAAAAAAAAAAGTAATTTTTAATCGCGAGGGCGGGCTAGCCACAACGAGCTTAGGGCCCGAAGCCGAGAGAAGTAATCACTGATAGAAAGGAGGGCCCGCGCCGACTGCCGTGTCGTCAATATCCGGTGCATTTGCTGCAGGGTTTGTTGCCGTAAATTGTCAGCCTGCACATTTTTTTTTTCTTATGGATGTTTTTCTTGCTATAAATATCCCTAGCATTCATTTGCATTCATTTAGAGTAAAGTGAAATTTTAGTCGTTTCACTACCCTAACTTTTTCGTCCTCTTCGAATGGCTTTTTTCATTTCCGTCCCTTATGTTTGCAGAAAGGTTACAAAAATGTCATTTTCGCAACAAAAAGATATCTTATGTTTTGTAAAAAATGTTGCAATTTCGTCCCTCTATGCTCGAGGACCTTTTTGTAACCTTTTTGCAAACATCAGAGA